TGGGGGTTTCCCGGGGAGGGGAGGGTTTTTTCCTTTTTGGGGGGGGGGGGGGGGGGGGGGGGGGGGGCACTTTAGGAGGATGGTCCATCCCATGTGCATAAGGAGAGAGGAGGCGCGAATGTGTCTGTACAGGGGCGGGGGGGGGTGGGGGTCATCTCGATGTTGAATTCCGCCAGGGCGGGGGTTGGGATGATTCCGTGAGTCGTGTGGTTGGACGCGTTGGCCACTGGGTCGGTCGGTTCGCTATCTGGGACATGGCACGACGACACGAAGGACCTGCAGCAAGCAACCTCACGGTCTTTCCCTGCGGTGCAGAGTTATGTAACGACTGCCGATCGAGGGTGACGGTTGAGTAAGGTGCAGGGTAATCAACACGATGGAACACCACTCTTCAGTTATTCATGGCTCCATCAACATTGTCTTACGCCGAAGCCCTAAGCACGACCCTCTTACGACAGCCACGGGGGGGGGGTCCCGCAAAAGAGAAAAGAGTGGGTGCGCCCGACATATCATGTACAGTACCAGCGCCATCCGGAGAATCACTCGGGGTTGGTCTTAGCGATCTTCCTAAAACCCGGTGCGCGTTTCCCCTACCCGAAGAGTGCGGATACGTTGGCGTCCCACCGTGCAGTACCCTACGGGGGTTGCACCCCGCCTTGGTTTCGGTACACAGGGTGTATGAAATCTGTGAGCCTAAGCGGTGGTTTCATGCAGGGTGGGTGGCCGGGATAGGCCGAGTGAAATTTCTTCTTGGCACCGGTAGAGACTGCCAAAGCTGTCCGTGTACAGTGAACGTAGGGATAGGGCGGATGCCCGCGGTAAGAAAAGGCCTGGTGCATATCCGCCCACTAGACGGTGAACGTGCATGCGCGCGAAGCCCTGCTCTAAAGGTATTCCACAGCGTTGTGGCGGCGGGTTAGCCTGGCAGCACTCCCCGTTACGTGCCTTCCGGCTAGGCGAGCTCACGCGGTCAGCAGCACTAGCTAGCAAAGAAGCCGTCGAGGGCGGAGACAAAAAACGCTCCGAGACGAAAGGTCTCTCTCTCTCTCTCTCACTTTGTAGCATCGTCCTCGTGGGTGAGTCGATCCTCCATGAAGACCGGCCTCGTGGGTATGGTCAGACCCATGACCGTGTGCATCGCCGTCGGCGCCACATTGGAACTCCTGCTCGACTGCTGCGGCAAAGGCGGCTGCTACGCGGGGCGGCAGACACAATAAACAAGACGAAGCGTCAATGTTGGCAGGCAAAGCACAGAAAATTAAGGTAGCACCAGGTTTAGACGCGGCGGCTTTTGCACTTAGGTGCTGTAGAACGCCCCGTTACTTACGGACTTGGTAATCAAGAAAACGAGCGTACGATTGCCGCGAACCATAGAACTTGGGACCGCACTTCGTGCCGCACTATTATATTGCTGACTGGTGTACATCTGTAATTCTTAATTCCGCCAGGTCGAGGAAGAGGGAAGGTCGTGCGTGAAGGGCACGTTACGTTTCGCGTCGCTCGGACCAGGCCTTCATCTCAATCAATGAGCCCAACGTTGCAACATTTGGTACGGTTTTGGTCTCAAAATCTTGAATCTTCCGAAACCTTGACCCTTTTGTGGTTCCCTCACTATTTTTCATGCAGAGAATAGAAGGAGCGCTAAGAGTTGCTTGCAAGTGTCCGAGATTTCGAGATGAAAACAAAACAAAAAAAGCAAACATCGACAGAGTTTCCACCCACCCACACTGCCTTTACTTTGATTCATGTATAACAATCTGCAGAAGTTCCTTTTTTTTTGACGGCACTGCTGTTTCCACAATGCTCAATATACTGCACGCCTTCATTATGATGAGATAAGCGGCACCATTGTACTTCAAAGCAGCAGTCACTTGACCAAAGGAACAGACCTCCTCCGTCTTTTGGGACACCTAAAATGCGGACATGCGATGTGTGCCATTCACCCCAAAAGACAGCCAGAGCCCACAGCGGGGCACGAGCCCGAAACTGTTGTACGAAGGTCCGAACATAAAAGTGCAGCATACGCAGCACCATGTTGAAACAAAGTCTGCGCTACTGCTGTGTGAATTATATACTGCTGTTCGCAACACTTGATTTTGCACCTGTTGAATCGCCCCAGCTGATGCACGTCTGGGGGTGGAAAATGATCGCTCAAGCGCCCTATTGCGCCCCGTCTTTTGCTGCCCACTTGAACCATCCTTGGCCGGCACGTTGCGCCCTGATTCCATGCCGGCGTCCTCTCTCTTTGTCTCCGTCGAGTGAACCAGCTCTCCGCTTCGCGGGGTCGCCGCGGTTGGTATTTATTGTATACCTTGGAAAGACGAGCAGCGAGGACCCTTATCCCGCCGCATTTGCACCGCCGCAGGCAGAGCTGCTGTGGGAGCGCTGCTGTGTGGCAGGTCCAGCGCCAGAGACAGGGAGATAATAAGGGAAAAGGAAGGTGGTGGAAGTAACTATGCTGTCCGCACTACGATGCTGCTCAACAGGGAGTAAAATTAGAGCGAGTGGGATGAATATTGATGGCAATGCTATTGTCAGCGGCATCAGATTGTTTGCATTAACAACGACGGCGCGCGGAGGCCGCGGCAGAGCTGGCGGCACAAGGCCGGCCTTCGAGCTGCTGGACGAGGACATCGAAGAGAGATTTGTCAAGGCAAGTTCTCAGTAGTGTAACAATCTGCCTAGGTATTCATAACACCCAGAGTGATCTCCTTCCTGTATGCCCCGCATACGGACATACTCCGGAGCCAAGACACGACAGCAAGTATGCGTAAGATCACACACCTTTGATTTGGGCCCATTCAAAGCTCGATTGACGAACAGGATGTACTTCGAAGTACCAATCAACGAAAAACATCGACGAGGTGTGTCCAACGCCGTCATTTTCGGCACCGCCACTCTCCTCTGCCGAGGCGTAACCGAGCTCCGAAAACCAATCAAGGGGGTGTCATATCTCATGTGACCTACGGTTAGTATTTACAGCAGCGTGCAGGATGAAATCCATCCAACTTTGTTTGTCGTCACATTGGAGGTATAATGTTCTGGTACACGGGGTTCCGTGTTCCGCGATGCTCGTACTTCATCCGACGTCAGGAGGTGATGCGTGCGTAGGCATGCAATACAAGCCCTAATCGTCCACCCAAGAACCCCCTGCTATCTAACGTACGTCACGTCAGCGCTCCATTGTGACCGCGCGTGTGCAAGTACAGTACATGCAAGAGCGCCACCGTAGCCGTATCAAAGGCACTCAAGTAAGCTTGGGAGTACAGTACGAGAGAACCCTGAGCCCCATCTTTGCCAACGTTGCAGCCATGGAGATACATACAGTAGTATGCCACCGAAGTCCACGGCAGAGCCCCTCCCCCCCATCGTGTTCCGCCGGGGGGGGGGGTTCAGGTGATTTCCCTTCACCTACCGTAGGTTGCAAAAGAAACCACAACCCCTGGAGCGGTTTTTATTGCTCGATGACTCTGCAAAAACAAAAACCGCAGTGACGGCCGGTAACGGAGACGTTGGAATGGTATCGCCGGGAGCGTTTCCGAAAACGTGTCGTTTGACGTTGGCGTCCTCTTCGTTGCGTGTTGAGCAGGGAAGTGGGCCAGGCGGCCAAAAGATCAACAAGGTGCGGAACTGCGTCCAGCTGACCCACGTACCTTCCGGCGTGTCGGTCTCGTGCCAAGACTCTCGCGAGCTTCACGCCAACCGCCACATCGCTCGGAAACGCCTCAAGGAAAAGGTGCAGGGCCCATCTTGTGTTTTGAAGAACGCATCACCACTTCAGAACCTCTACTAATATATAGTTCTGGCCGAGGCTGGGATTCTTAATTCCTACATTAGGGTCATGCTACGAATGGTGGTCATATAGGTTTTAGTGTGGGGTTCTTAACGGAGCTCACAAATTGTGCTCAAGTTCTTAAATTTTAGGGGTTTGAGGCTCAATTTCTTAAATCCTGAGTTCTTAAGGGGTGGCGCGTTCTGTGTACAGGTTGCGGCCAGAGAATAAGAGTCATCCATGTGGGGGTCGAGGCTCATTTTCTTGGTTCGTCACCACCGTCCAGCATACGTCATTACATGGAGTTTGGTGTGGGATCCACGGCTGAGGTGTGTTTCTTGGTCACCTTTTCTTTGTTTTTCGTGAACTTTTGAGATTTGTTTTCCTAGCTAGACTTTTCTTAAATGGCGGACCGCAACTCCCGTGCATTTTTTATGTCTTTTTTACGACCGGGGCCCGTTCACCGGTGCGGGTACGCATCGGTCGAGTTCCGCCATTGCATGATGTTGAGTCAGTGACCCTCCCCTGCTCACGCACGCACGCACGTCTCCCTTAGGTGGAGTTCCAGCTGATGGGCGCCGACAGCAAGGTCGGCCGCAGAATAAACAAGATCCGGAACAAGAAAGCTCGCTCGCAGCGAAAGTCGCGCCTCAAGCACCAAGGAGCAGCAGCGACAGCGGCAGCGGCATCAGAAAAACAGCCAGAACCGGCGCTTAGCAATGACGAGAAGATGATGATGGCCGGTGGCAGCGGCACAGGGGAGGCGGTGGACTCGGCGAGCGAAGTCGACAAGGAGGAGAGTGACTGGGAGGACAGCGGGAGCAACGAAGCGGGGAGATGAAGAAAAAATATTTCGAGTCCTTTTGGGGAGTGGGGTGACGAGAGTTTTTTTCGTTGGTACGCCCCCCCATATGTCATACGTGCGGCGAGATGGCTGCCAATTCGAAGCGTTCTTCGTTTCTGGCGTCTGGAAGGAGGTTACATTCGAGACTGGGCTGGAACGGCACAGACTCTTCTCGACGTAGAGAGTGGAGGGTGGACGGCGCTGTTACCACTGTCGTATCCTTCTAAAGGCGGACCGAGGGCGTGTTTGCCTCTGCTGTTGTTCGGAGGTCGGCAAGGCGGCGGCTCGGCAGTAAGTAGCCCTTGAACCGTCATTTCCGTTGTTACGCGCATGAAATTAAAACAGACATGCCAGTTATGCGTGTGCGTGCACACTGCGAAGCCATGGAAAGTTGCCGCAGAGTTGTCAACATTGCTGGTGGAAGCGAAGTTTCTCCGAAAACGCTTTTTGTTGTAGAGGCCGTCTCAGCGACACAGGAATATCGACCCACAGTTCACACCCACGGCCGAATTTCGCCGCAGTGTGGGACGCCGGCACAGCAGTTGTGGTACATGAGATGACACGTGCGAGTAATCATCCATGCCCCCGCCCCTCCCGCTGGTACTGCCGCGCGCTCACACATGGTGCTGCAGAGACGAAAATCCTCAACGTCCATCGGACGGTGGCAGCCGGGACTACTGGCCAGCCGACCCAAAGAACATCCCGCCTCCTGCACTGCATGCTGGACCTGTCCTGGTGGAACGGCCCGTTAGATTCGAAGTGCCATTTTGCCGAAGGCGGCAGGAAGGTTTCGCAAGAGAAGAGGGTTACAAAGGACCGGTTCACACTCAACGCTGCTGCTTCTGGTGTGTGTTTTCCCGTTGCCTAGAAGCCAATGGGCGCGGATGTGTTTTGTTGCCGTCATCGGCATTTTTATGTGTTTTCTGTGGTTGGTTTGCACTGTAAGTTTTGCTGTGTGGGGGCCAGGACCAATCGCACGGCTTGCTTGATGATGGTGAAAGACTCGTTTTTCTTGTGTTTTATACCCTGCTCATTTTGCGGCGGGCTGCTGGCCTATAGACAAAGCGCTTTTCCGTGTCAGCGTTTTCCTTGCAATTTCTGGGGCTGTTACAGTGAACTGTTGACTCTGCAGGTGTTGTCGCACGATGTGTATACCTTCGTTCACGTTTTTTTTTTTTTGCCTTCGGGAGGACAGGCAAGTACTCCGGACTCAAAGTCCGAAGGTTTCCTATTTATGTGTCTGTTGCACTCGGCGACGTGGATTGTGGGTGTGTGTGGACCTGGGCGTTGGGGGGGGGGGGGCATACCGCAGTAGATAGGCCGTTTCTTCCCGTCGTTTCCCCATATGCAAAACGAGAGCCCAGGATAATCATTGGACCCGTGTCCCGTATGCCCGTTGCACCTTGTCAGACTAGTGTGTAAGCGGTGTCCTTACCGTTTTGTGGTCGTTCCGTGTCGTAAGCTTGACCCTTCGTGCGTCAATGCTGCTGCGAAACCGGCAGGGAAGAGCTAATCCCCAATGAAACTGAACAAGGACAGAGCGCGTCCCTCCGTCTCGGTGTCACGTGAAACGCATGATTAATTTTTCCATGAGGCCCGCCAACTCGGAAGGAGAAGGGAGTTGCTGGTACGCCGTTCCAACCACGAGTCCTCCGCTACAACTAACCAAGTCCGCGAGTGACAAATATCAACCGAAGCAGGTTCGTATACAGAAGTAGCAGGTCCGTTTTTCTTGTCTCAACGCTTCTTCTCGGATATCTCAGTTGGTTGGCAACCCGTCGGTCTGTGTAGCCGAGATGGTCCATGCATATGAGAGGCCGTGTAACTTATCTCATGATCAACACACACACACGGAGAATCAAGGTCACACGCCGTGCGAAGGCACGGGCATGACATGTCTGCTCCTTGTGCGATAGCAGTCCCTCTTTCTTGCTGCCACAACAAGCTCGTCATACACGGTAACATTGTTCTTTGGATAGGTGTAGGCGGGGGTGGGAAGGGTTGTTAAGTTCCTGCCCCCTGGTAATGGTCTTCCCGATCCTCCTTTTCGGCCTTCTGTTTTGATGTGTTCTTCGGGTTAAAATGCCCTGGCCGTATGCCAGCACTCTCCCTTTTCGTTTCTCTTCCAAGGCACAGAAGAACGAAAAATCTGTGTGGTCACTCAAGCTGTCACCCACACCAATGTGCGCATAAAAACTCTGAAAGTGCTCAATTCTTCGGCGAAGAACGAGAAGTCGGGCCCGATGGGCAACTAACATGTTCGCCAGCCAACATAATATCGTCCAAAAACTCTACACGAAAAAAAGTCAACTGCTGCTAAGAATCGATCTCGCTCTGCAAGAGTACACGTCGACGCACAAGCTGGAACGCACGCCACCAAATACGCCCAATTTCGATTTCTCCCACAGAGGCCCTAAAAATCATGCGGCACAAGGGGGATCTTACCCCCCAAATGTCACATGCTTACAAACAGAAGTCACGTTTTCTACATAGTCTAGAAATTCCACAAAATCTTCTATTGTTCCCTATCACCCCCCCCCCGAGCCAAATCATCTACAAGCCACTTGGGACGTAAACCTTTGCCCGCAGAAAGCGCACGTCTCAGCTAAGAACGTGCTTCCAAACGTCTTCACAGGGGACGCGGTGTTGTCCAGCGTGTTAGGGGGGGCGGGGGTTATCTCCTGTCCCCTGGTTAGTTTCCTCCCTCGGCCTCCTTCTTGGCCTTGGCGGCCAAGTAGTCCGCGTAGCTCACTGCGGGCCTGATGGGGTCCTTGTACCTGTCGGGAGGAGAAGAAACGTCAGGACAACAGAAAAACAAGGCCAACAACAGGCGAAGAAAGACGAGACGATTAATAAAGTCTCGGTAGTGATGCGCGTGCAGGAGTTTTGTGAACTGTTTGCTGTTAACCGTTTCTTTTCAAGAGGAACCCACGCGCCTAACTGGGGTTAAGAAACAGCGCAGCGGTGGGTTCTACACTACATCCTGGACGGTAGGTAGTCTACACTCAATGGTGGCGACAAAAGCCAGAAACTCAGCCTCGACACGCATCGGCGTTTCTTCGTAGCGGACCCCGCATTACCGGTGTAACGTGATAGGTGGGTGTGGGTGTCACTTGGTGCTCACATGGTCTCTCCCGGGTAGTAGCCGGACGAGTCGCACTTGTTGCCCGCGGCGTCCTGTTCACGAAATACACAAAAACACCGCACGCGTCAACGCACGGGGAAGGGAACCAGGGCGTGGGGTGAGGATAGTTTTAGAAGACAAAACTGAGGAAGGTGGGACTTGATCCTTGTCGCCCTCGGACTTGAACATGTAGGAATAGCTGGGTTCTTTTGATTGGTTTACATCTTCAAATGGCAGCAGTAAAACAACGGCAGCAAGCAGCATTGCCATCATGTGTGCAACTGACTGCTGCCGAGAGGGGGAGAAGGAAGGGCGCAAACCGGAAATGTTGAGTGGTCGTGCACGATATTACTCTGGTAAAGAATAGATTCAGCGCTTCTGTATGCATGCATGCACTCGTAAGCAAAGAGGGTCTAGAGCTGGATGCGTCTTTCGGTAGGCTCTGATGCGCGTTGTTGAGCAGCAGTACTTCTGTCTCAAGTGAATTGAAGCAAGCACATGAAACACCGGTACAGGAGTCCAACCTACACAATCACTGCTGTAAAACAGCTGGGTTTTTCGCAACGTCGAGCAGGCGGGTGGGCCGAAACAGCACCAAGTTCCACAGAGGTAATGGTCATCACCACTAAACCGCTAAATGCTCTAGTGCGTCAGGCTCGAACGGAGCGTTGCATCGCCACACCAACGCAATGGAATTGGCAGATCTCTTGACCCTGCTCGGAAACAACTACAAATCGCTTAAACCCACGGACATGTGCCACGTGGTACTGGGTGGAGGAAGTTACACATTACGCTTACGGCAGCGGGCAAATCTTCAGCACGTGTCGGCAATTGACCGGCGGAGCACCAGACGTACATGCGACTGCTACTGTTGTAGTATAACTCCGTATACAGCCAGTTGCTTGCTTCAGTTTCATTAATGGTGTCATGATCCATCGCAGTTGGGGCTGGTAGCAGGGGAGAAAAAATAGGGTAAAGACAACTGATACCTCAGCAACAGGCGGTTGCGAGTTGAACAAAAAAACACTGGTGCCTTTCGTGACCGTTCTTCTCAAAAGGCGACGCTTTTATCTCGCCGGAAAACGACAACATACGGTGGAGTATTACAATTGTACTACAATACTGCTGTGGAAAATCCATCACTACACACGCACGTGCATTCTGCGCTGATGGGTCTCTTGCGTATGCGGTTGCCCTGGGCGCATGGATGTCGAGCGGACGGATATAAGCACGCGACGCTCATTTCACTACTGCTGTTGCACATCTTCCTACTACCACGAGATGCTATGTACTGCTGTATGTAAGGTATGCATACAATAGTATCGTGTGGATCTCGAGCAGTTCATCCCCGGGTTGAAGTAAAAAACGTGTCGTCACTAGAAATTTTAGAATCAGACGTCTTCTCCCTTCCCCATACATGACGCAGTTATGGCCAAGCACAGGCCGGGCATCTCAGGCCGCATGCCACTCGGCCCAAGAACGCCAAGGCTATCAACACCTCTATCAACACCTCTCTTGCATTGTTTACAGCGGTAGGAAGAACATGCATGCGTGGTGCCTGAGCGGGTTCAACCGCAATATTCTTCGTGTGCATGCGCCTACCAACCGCCACGCACGTCGAAATCTCAACCCACAACAACAGCACCATATTTTTGTGCAGCAGACGCGGGCGCGAATCAGGCGAGGTGCGCAGCCGGTGCAACCGACAGAGGCAGCAGCGGCAGCGAATGGAACAGCAGTGACATCCGCCGCTGCTACACAGGCGCCACCACGCGTACGACTCTCGTGGGTGACGGCAAAACGACCGAACGTACGTATCGCAACAAGATCTCTCTCGTTTTAGATACGCCGCCCGCGCGGAGAACAGCAGCTGCTTGCACGCTGCAGCAGGGTTGATTTGATTCTCGCTCACCTTCACGAAGGGGTCGAAGTTGTTGTCGCTCCAGGGCTCGTTGGGGTTGTACATCGACTTGACGTCGTCCTTGGCGGCGTCATCCCACAGCTTGCCGTCGTACTTGCCCTGTCCGAACACCACGGTCGCCGAAGTCCTGGTGGGCTGCTGCTGCGTGAGCCCGCGGCCGGCGGCGCCAGGTGCCACGAACGCCGAGGCGGCGGAGGCGAGGGCGAGGACGCCGACGACGGCCTTGACGGGCTTAGAGTGGTCGTGCCCCATGTTGTTCGGTGATGTGGATATGTCTTTGGGGTTAGGAAAATGTGTGTTGTCGGCTTGTGCAGGAATGGAATATATGTGCTGGGTGCGCGACGAAGAAAAGCAGCTGCGCTGCTCGAAAGAAGACAAAGATCGCAAAAGAGGCCTCGTTTTACGGCCGGGATCGGGGAACTTTGGGAGAAATCGGCGCGGGGCGCGCGCGCATTCAACGGCTGCCTCGATTTTTTTTTCGCGGAATTGGCGCGATCGATCTTGAGCGTTGAGCGCAGAGGAATGTGAGGCTGCACGCGTCGCCCGAGAGAGGGACAGAGAGGGAGGAGAGGGAGACCTATTCATGCATATGTCACCATGCGCGCGCCCCGAACGGCAAAAAAGCGCAATCTGTTCCACCGAAACGCAACTTTTTTCATGTAAACGGCGTAAAATAACGAAACGATGGTACCTTGACTGCATCGACTCCTGCCTTTTGATACAGTGTTCGCTGGATGGAGCCCACTAGACTAGCTTGTACGTTTCTACGGCAGTCGTGCACTGCCGGTTGTCCCGTCAACGTCAAGTGCACCATCCATTCTCAACATCATCAGACAGAAAACATGCAGTTTGAAGAATGCAGAGTTCAGATCGACAGATCGGTTCAAGAAGGCAGTGTTCGGGGCACCGCACACCCGCAGGAAGGAGGAGTGTAGTATCTTCTTCTACAATATGCATATGATTCTTTCGCCTACACTTTTCCATTAGGACCCGATCGCCTCGTTTTTTAAATCTCAGTGATGTGCCGATCCCAGCACGCCGCTAATAGCGCCCTACACAGCGGAGCAAACCGGGGCCTGCTGAAGTTTGTTGTCTCTGTACAGCAGTAGTTATGGACACAACCTCGCCTGGAAATTGTACAATTCGTTTCTTCTTCGCCACAAGCGCGACTAAACAAAGACCGATGCAAATGCGCGAGATTGAACGTGCGTGTATCGGAGCGGGAGCGGCCGTTCTTCCCTAATAGTGCTCATACTCCGGGACGCACCATCATCGCCTTCTTCCCCGTTTGCCGGTTTTCTGGTACAAACCATCAGCAGCATGGTCACCGGACCCAGTGGATCGCTTCCGCTGCAAGACGCTTGACGTAACGTCTCAAGAAAAAAAAAAAAAGGGTCGATCGAATGTACTTACATGTTACTTTTACATTTTACATTCCCCGGGTTGATGTGAGATGCCGAGCAAGTAAAAAATGTTGTGTTACTTCAAGAACTAAAGTTACCAACCGCGATTGAAAAGATACAACTTCTTCAGCGATACTAAAAAAAAAACTTGCCGCAGCGCGCAACCAAATTTGGTTGGCGACACGGCAAACCTGAGCATCAACTTCTTCCTCCATCTCAACCACGACACTATACTACGCAAGCACGTAAAAATGTTAATGTTTTTCCCCCATAATTGGTCGGACGAGCAAAGGGTGCTGTCTCAGGGTGCGCCAGAGTACAGGACTCTATACTTAATTACACGAGCACGACGTGCTGCTGAAAGGAATACGTCTGGAAGACGAAAACCGAAGCGACCAGCAGCGGCTAGCCAATCACGAACCATTCGGGGAATCTGGGGAAAAGCTCCTGTTTCGTCAGCGGGGTAAATGTTCGATCAAGTCAACGTCCCTGACCTTAAATCATGGTCGCCCGACGTCCAACAGAATACAGTAATAGTATGCGACCGCCCGACCGACATCGCGTCTACCGCAGAAACGCTACCGTCTTTCCCCTCAAACCCAACGCAATCGCGGGTGCCTCAACCGTTGGAGGGTACCCCATGTCAAGCACTGCCGTTGTAGTCCACCTCGCCCAACAACACCGACACTTTTTGCGAGCTTTCGCTGGCGGACAAGTCCACGCGGTATTCGACCGTCTGCGGCCCGGGGGCCGCGTGCCCCGGCGCGGCCACAAACGAAAGCGTAAGAACCGCTCTGATATACTCACCGCCGCCGCTGCCAACAACAACGCTATTACTACCAACGCCTTCGCCGACACCAGCACCGCCCTCTACGTGACTTCCTTCGCTTTCCAGCGGGCGTTTCTCCACTTCTTCTCCGGCACGGCCGATGATGCCATCGCTACTCCCGCCGCCGGCCTCGATTTTCTCCTTCCATCTCACCACCCCCGTGCCCAAGGGAAGTCGGCGGCACTTCGTAGTCTTGGCCACACGAAACGTGGGGCTGCCGAAACGGAGACAGAGTGTGTGGGGGGGGGGGGGAGGGTACTCATATAAACGCATGCCATCGTCGGTAGACCCTAAACCTGGGGGGGGGGTCAGTTGCGGCCATAGTTATGCGCTGCTCCATCACGCCTCCGTTTCGAGGCGGGGCACGTCCTTCACAAGCGTTTACACATGCAACCTTCGGACGCTCTTATGTACGATTCTGGGATACTGTTTTTGCTCAAGAGAAGGGCAAGCAGTTACACGTAGTCAGACGGTCGAAGTCAACACTGACTGCAGATGGCCTAACAAGGTTAACCCCCTTCTACAGAGTGGCTGTTGATTGACCACGCGTCGTGATGCCCCAAGGAAAAATACGTTGTAGGGTCACCGAAGAGGAGGGTATATACATGTAGTCAAGTCTGGTCCGACCGAGTGTTGAAAATGGAACTATTTAGCATGACGGAAGGTGACCCGAACGTTGGCCATGTCTGGATTACACGGTGGGCTCCAAAAGAACAGGCGGATGTTGCGCGCGGTGTGCCAATAACCCACGAGTCACATTTTTTTTTCAACCAAAGACGATGACGGGCAGGCATATGTTCGCCTCGTCGTGTCTCGGGGAAACAGATTCACGCTACAGCAGCGTACGCTGAGAAACGGCGGGGGCGTGCGTAACTGCCGCCAAGGATCCGGCAAGGAGACGCGCCGAAATTTCGCACAGACTTCAATCACCTCGCCAGCAACCGTTTTCTCCCATGACCCAGTTGTGATGGACGGAAGGCTCGGAAACCACGCACCGACAATACGGGTTCTCTTCCAATACAACGTGAACTGCCACGTGCACATGAGCGATGGCCGGGAACGTTAAGAAAAAAAAACAACGGTTTTCACCAGTGCTGTAATTTCTGCCGCCGCGCGGCAGCGGCGGGACGAGCTCTCACCCCGTAACGACAGCATCTGAGAGCTCCGTCTCAGGAAACTTCACGGCCATCCTATCGATGTAGCCGCATCGCGCCCCATCCGCGGAGTCCCCGACGGCTATGGCCCACTTCCACCGGTCCCCGTTGGCGCCGGTGATGCTGGACGTGTGGCTCACCACTAGGGTCTCTGTCCGCCGATAAACCTGTCGCGCCGACGGGCGGCCAAAAAAAGTTTCGCGGGTATGACAAGATGGCCGACGATGCGATGCTCTCTAAACGTGAGGGTGAAACTATGGTGTGACGTGGTGAGAACTCGCCTTGCGATTTGCGCGGAGTGCTTCGAGATGGACGAGAGAGGTGACGAACGAACAAAAAAAAAAAGAATGCCGGTAGGGCTACGGCAACCTGCCCCCTCCCTATTTCAGGCGGTCAAGAAGAAGCCGCCACTTTCCTAGCTTCGCGTTGAGTAGCTCAAAACCGACCAGAGGGAAGGCGAACGAATCCAAAACAAAAATAAATAATGAATGTCGGTAGAGTTAGTTGGGGCAACCTCCCGTCGCTCTTTCTCCCTTCCCCTGGCTCTCGCTCTCCTTCTTCGCGTCTTCTCGCCCCCAGGGGAGAGCACGCCGGCGATTCTGTCCTTCCCGCCGCATAAGGTGCTGTTGGTATTGTTGTTGGTATTGTTGATGCTGTTGTTTTCACACTCCGCTCAGTACGTCATGGGTTCAACTGACGCGAACGCCATCGTTCCGGGGTCACCGACCAACTACTACCCCAAAAGGGTGTACACCTTTCCAGAAGTCAAGGAAACGTGAAAAAAAACGGACCCAGAAAAACACTAAACGGATTATATTTCCATCAGTCTCGCCTGCTGCGCGGTCGTCAACGCCAAAAAAGAAACCCGAGCGCGCTAGAAAGCGGTTCTGGTGGGCATTTTCCCCCGTGAGTGCATATACTTGGGGTTTGATTTCATGGCCCATCCGGCCGGCACCGGGTGGATGCACACACAGAGACGTACGCACACCATCGTCGTCGTCCCGGCCTGTCGAAACGTACCGGGATCGGGACGCCCAGCTCCTGCATGACGCAGCGCATGACCGCGTCGATCTTGGCGCGGATGACGATCGCAGCTCGCGCATCCTTACAAGTCTTCTGGAGGTTGACGATGACCTACGGGGTGGAACGCACGGCACAGCCAAGCGATTGATTGATTGATTGGTTCGCGCCGAACCACAGCCGAAAAGGGTTTCCCAGTGAACCAGGCGTGATTACCCGCTGGGGAGCGATCTGCTGGTAGGTTGTGGAACATGCACGCATGCATCGTGACGCTTGCCCAGCAGTGACGCCTTGGGTGTGGCCTCTATTTCCCCCCCGGTTTCTCGACAAAAGGGAAATGGAGGGTATATTGTAGCGGTACTGTAACCCCTCGGCATACAGAAGGGTTCCACCGACACACAAGACAACACATGCGTCACTACCTGAGAAGTGGTACCGAGCATTGACTAGGACTGGAGAGCATGGTATGCATTTCCCCCAACAGAGGGTGCCAAGCTTGCGGAGAATGCCACCGCCCCAAAAAGCCAAAATAGTTGAGCGTGGGGGGCCAAGCACAAGCAAGCGAGAGTCTGCTCTTTCGCGACCTGCTGTAGGTCATCGGACGAAAAAAGCGTTCGTCAATGTGGACTCATAAGCAAGGAGGGTCTACATGCGTTGGGTGCGTGCACATACAGGGTGACAATAACCCGCACGCACACAAAACTGGAGAGTGGCATCAGCCCCCCCCATGACGCCCCCCCTCACGAGGTCCTAAGTCATGGTCCTTTCGGAACCTATTCTGTTTTCAGCCGCACTGCTGAGACTGACGTCTTTTCATTGGGCAGCCGGTTAGGGCGGTCGTTTGAAAAAAATAAAGACACACAAAGAGAGAGAAGAGCAACAGAGTGGCAAAACACACACAAGGAAGCATTTTTGTGTTGTCAACCGCACAGAGACTAACGTATTTTCATTAGTCAGCCGGTTAGCGCGGTCGATGCTAACAATAAAAAGAAACACACACGCATGCACACACAAGTGGGCCTAGCGCGATCTGCGCACCACGTACCATCTTGTCGGCCTTGGCGGGGAGGTCTTTGGACGGGGAGATCTGCAGAGAAGTCCCCAGGCAGAGGCTAACACCCCCGGTTTCGCGGCACCTATTGCAAAAGAAGTCAAGTCACATCGCCATCAGCCCAAAACACCATTTTACTATCACTTCTCACAAAACATAAAGAGGTAGGTGCCACAACAACGCGTCCAACTAGACCACCCCATCGTTCAAGAGCGAGCGCCGAAATGCTGCAGCAGCGCACCTCTGTGCCCTGCAGGGCACCAAGGAGCCACGCCGCGGTGACAATACCGCATCGACCCTGACTTGCTTGATGACGCACCCATCGCCATAATAGTCGTTTCCGCAACTGCTGGACTGCCCACACGAAGAATTTTTGTTGATCTATGAAATAGAGGGGCAGGGGATACGTAGACCGAGCCTCCCAAATTCCATTGATTCCATACTTTATCCAACATGTTTGCATAGTACAACCAGCGTAGGCTACTGCAAGTGTCCGAATACCAATGCCACAACTTGCGAACAGCCCCGGGCGTTCTCCTCGGGTAAAAATTACGCACAAGATAACACCCCCTGTGATAAAAAAAAACTTTGGCGGTAAAAATACCGGTTGTGTTTCTCTTAGGGGTGGGCGGGCGCGGCATCCGACCCTATTTCTTGATCTGAGATCATTTTTTAAGTTTCGGGCCCATGTTGAGCCGCAAGACTATCATCACGGGGTGGTGGTATTGTGTGTGTATGGTGGGGTATCTATTGTGGGGATGCTACCTTGTGGGGATCACGGAGGTCGGGATTTCCGACTGGGGAACAAGAGCCACGACGCGCTGCTGCGGATGGGCTGTGGCGGTCGGGTGAGCAACCGAAATGGACCGACCTTTCGGAGAGGTCCACAGCCTGTTCGTAGTCTCTCAGCTCGTCCTCCCAGTCAAGGAGTGCGTCAACCAGCCCTTCTCCACACTCACGGCATCGTCGACCTGTGCATCCGTGTGTGGGGGTGTCGGCATATTTGTTAGAAGCCGTTCAGGGTGGTGGGGTGCGTCTCTGTATCACACACCATCAGGTGTCTGCGAGGGTACCATTGGCAAGAGCAACAGCAGTGGCGTCAACATGCGGTAGGGCTGGTATAGCGTATAGCTGTAGAGGCACATGGCTACCCGTTCTACGACCACGACCGCTACTGCTGCGTCCGCTACATCAGCTGCTGCTGCTGCTGCTGCTGCTGCTGCTGATGCCACTGCTACTGCTGCCTCTTGATCCTACACCACTCCTCAATGCCAACTGCTACTGCTGCGTCCGCTACATCTGCTGCTTCTGCTGCTGCTGCTGCTGCTGCTGCTGCTGCCGGTGCTACTGCTGACTCTTAATCCTTCATCCCTCTTCAATGCCAACTGCTACTGTTGCGTCCGCTACATCTGCTGCTGCTGCTGCAGCTTCTCTCTTCTACCACCACCTGTTACTGTCATGAACGTCGATTCGAAGACCTGACCTGTTGGCTTAAAGCCCACACCCCCAACGTCCGCCGTGCGCCGAAACTCCTTCCCGCAGCCCGAACAAATCTCCATGAAGAGGTTGCCGTGCAGCTCGCACAGCTTCTCACGCGGGATACCGGAGCGTAGATGCAGCCCTGCAAAGAACAAAATTACACCCGAACATGAAAATACTAAATAAAAAATTGAGATACAGAGCTAGCGTCCGCACTTAGAACCTCTAGTCATAGCTTTGGCCGGGGCTGAACATGTTACTGTATTCCTAGGGTCATGCTTCGAATGGTGGTCAAATAGGTTTTAGTGTAAGGGGTTGCCATAGCTTATAAATGGTGCTCACGTTCTTAGATTTTGACGTTTTCGGGGCTATATAAATTTTCTTATATCTGACTGCCAAGTTTTGAAGTGCGGGCGCTGACTGTAGTCGTGGATGAGTCACCAACAACATGGCGTTCTGTGTGCGGGGCTAGATGGAAAGGATCCCGTGCAGGTCGCACGTATCGTATTCACAACTAGTTGTCACAACGCGTAGTGATATATCATCAAGTCGCAAGCACAAACAAGACAGGTGGGGTCTTGGTGCGTTACCGGGGAGAGAGGACTCACCGCTGTCGGCGTGTGAGTGTTGCGTAACCAAAGAAACAAAAAAAGACAAAAAATACACACAACATTTCGTGACGCGAGCCATTGCTTGAGAGAAGGACGTGGTCCTTACGGAGTGGAAGTCATTCCATCATCCCAGTGTACCTTCCTCGCTCTCTTTTTCTGTCTGTCTGTCTGTCCGTCTGTCTGTCTGCCTCTCTCTCTCTCTCTCTCTCTCTCTCTCTCTCTCTCTCTGTCTCCAGCTCTCTCTACAGCTCTCTCTCCCTCCCTCCCAATCTCTTTCTCTCTGTCTCCAACTCCCCCCCCCCCCCCCTACATTTTTTTTCACCTCT